AGCAGGACCTAGAAAAATAATAGCCAAGAATAAAATTGAATCGTTGGGGGGAAAAAAAACTAAAAATACTCTGCAGTCACTGGTACTGTTTTAAAATAGTTAACATCTCTGGCAGTAGCTCTTACAGAAGATTTTCACAATTCATTCCCCAAATTCCTGGACCATGAATTCTCACAGGAGTTCAGGAAGAAGTTTTAGTTGATTTTCTACTTGCTACTGTAAGGAAAGGTACAAGAGGCTTGTGAATATTCTGTGTCTCCATGGTACACAAAGAGGGGCTGTAAGTTTTTAGAGAAGAGATGGGGTTCAAAATACTTGCTGTAGGCTTTTCGTACTAGACTTGTTGCCTACTCTGCTTATTCTGGAAGACACTGTGGGCAAGTGGGAAGGAACAGATTCCCAACCTCAATGAAACCAAACAAGTAAAACTTGTCTCTAGGGCCATTCCACAATCCTCACGTGTTCTCAGTAGCGCTTACACATGCACATACCGTTAACAGCTTTCAGGAGTAGCATTGAACAGAGGTGTTCAGAGCCTGTGCAAAGAACTACAAAAGACAAGCAATTTGCTGGGTCCACAAAACCCGGAAAACTCACAAGTTCCTGAATACCAACTCCTGCAGTTCCACAAGAAGGATCCACTCGCCTCTAAAATGTTACAGAGCATTCCTGTCACACAAACCAGTCCAAGGCTGCCCTACCTAGCAAAAGCTCCGTGGTTCACTTAAAACCAAACATGACGCTCCTGCTACAGATCCAGCAGGATCTCCAGACACGAGATCACCAAAACAGCTGTTACTGTGATTCTATGTTTGGTGAGCTTCTCCCAGCTGATAAATGCTTCTGAATTTTATCAGAGCAAAATGTCCACTGAGGAAGAAAATGAGCACTGCGTGAAAAATGGATGCTCCACAGAATATAAGCTACACTATAAGGCATGAGCACTCTTACAAATTCACTGCTAGACAGAAATACAGGCAGCCAAGTTCTGCCACCTTTGCCTAAACACTGATGGGGCTTTAGTTCATAAGTAGCCTTGCCAGAAGCAATGTGAGTGTCACAGAATAAAGGGCTTTCCAGTGGGAGTAAGGATGTCAGAAGCTGTTCTCAATGTACCTTACATTCGTGGGTGCAGCTTTTTGCTTTTTGCTTTTAACAGTCATTTCTTTAGCTCAAGAGACCGGTTGCCCAATAGCCCCTCCCCGCAACACTGTTGAGAAAGCTTTCAGTCAATATCTGAGTCATCTAAGTCTTCCAGCAAACCAGTGCAAAGCAGGCTATTCCTAAGAATAGACTAAACAGCAAGCAGAAAGCAGGCTCTTTTAAAAAGGCCTTTCAGATGAACAGAAAACACAGAAAACTCAGTGAAATTCCTTCCTAATTTTCTAATGTCTAAAGGGTTACTTTTCTTCTTAAAAGTATTTCCCCTCTTGGTTGTTTTTTAAAGGGGAAATATCCTGTTTTGACTCCTTGTTTTTGCCAAAGGACTGGAAACTTCAAATGAGATTCTCACACTCCCTCCTCCACTCCCCTGAGGTCTGGCATATAAAACTGCAGCACTACAAAAGGACTCCCCAAAGCCCTTCACACAGCCAGGGAAAATTCCTGTTGCAGGAACTGATGTAAACAGCTGACCTTACGGACTTATTACCAGGTTCCAGCAGAGGAGCAGTGAGAATGGCATGGGAGTCCACCAGCAGCTCGGCTGCAGAGAAGGTAAATAAGGCCAGGCTTGCTGTAGCTTAAGGGGGTTCCAGCTATGGTTACAAAAGTTAAATGAGGAGCTGCTCTGGCCCTGTAAGTATCAATGAAGCATGTGTCACAGCCAAGTCATATATTCCCAGAGAAAAGGAAAACAAAATCTCAGTGGAGCAATTTTCTGTCCATGTCCTGAGTTAGATGAACCGATGGGACGGCCGGCACAAACCTGCAGCGCACCTCCAGTGCGAGCAGATCAATTCATTTTTACAGGAGCTGCAGCCCAGCTTACCAAAAAGCCTCAGGTATGTGTTAAGTGCTTGATTATGTCTCAAGCTGGCACTCTGCACAGGAATGAATTTCAGCTTTATTTACCAGTTCTCATTTGAAAATCTTTACAAGGAGCAGAGTGTGTACTTTTCCTTTCCAGTTCGTTTCACCATGGTCTCTCTCCTCCTCTGTCACACTCCATGAAAACCTCTCTTGGCACCCTGGAGATATGCCACAATCTCATGCAGGCCCAGAGCCCCTCGCCATCAGCACACATAGCTTCCAGTCTCAGGCCCACCCTCCTCTTTGTCCCATATTCATTTCTTCATTTGGATCAAATTCCTCAAAATATGCAAGCTTCCCCCCTATTCTCTAAACTCTAGGCAGTTTGTAAGGCCAACTGACATGGGTGACACGACTCACCGCACACCCAGCTTTGTGTAAATTGGTACTTTGTGTAAATTGTCCTGACAGGACAGGGACCACTGTGGGACTGGCAGTCACACTAAACTTGCATGTCTAGCTTTCCTATCAAATTATTTTCTAAGTCCAACGACCTCATTCTTCATGTCACATGCTGACAGCCAGCCAGGCTGCAGTTGTTATTTGTCTCCTATAGATCCAATACTGAGGACAACGTTTTATGCCAAACATATTTGCTGATGCTTTACTATCTGTAGTTAGACTCCTGTGTAGTTCTGTGTACATCTAAAGCATGCTTTACATTAATAATAATAAGCTTTATAATATATGGTTTGTTTCTACTAAAAGATAAATATTTCTCCTAAATAAATCCCCCTCTCTGTTCTCTCACTGGTGGGATTACTTCTGAAATGCTACCCTCAGTAATTAGAAAAGGAGAAGTTCTCTTCTTTTCCTCCCAGATCCGCTGAGACACATGTAAACTCTCCAAAAGCCTTGTTCTGGTTATACCCTGCCCTGCCTGGTACTTCCAGCATGGCTGGCTCCCCTCTAACCTGTCTTACTCTGTGCAATTTCTCCTCATTTGAAAGTCCCTGATTTTATCAGCCTTGCCTGGGAGTCAGAGTAAGCTTCTCAGTCTGAATGCCACAGAAAAGGGAAGCTGGTTACAGAGGAGGAAGGACAGGTAAATCTGCCTACCAGCCCTCCTCCGCCTATACAGCCTCAAAGTTCCTCAGCTCAGCACCACGTTCCCGAGGTCCCGGAGAAGTTCCTGACCCAATGATTAAACCCAGATCCCACCAAATGGTTTGCTGTGCCTGGCCGCAGGGCAGGCCTGGGATTTCCAGCATCCCTTACAGCTCACGGTCTTCAGCCCTGACCTTGTTTTTTGAGTCTGTAACCCCTCATCCTAGCCTCCCTCCTGCTTCACTTGTATCCTGTTCCCCAGGGAAATGTAAAGCTGAGCAAACAGGACAAAGTGAAGTGAGCCCTTTCCTTGCCCACCCCTCGCACACACACCAAAAAAGGCAACTTCTTATTTTCTTTCCCAGAGCCTCTTTATCCTTTTGCCCACAGCACTGACTATAAAGCCTGAGGATTCATCTGAGTCTCCTCTTGTCAGGGGCAGGGAAGATTTGGCTACACAGGACATAAATAAAAGAGAGTCCAAGTCCTGGAATTCTTACTGTCTGGTGCCTCTTAAAGTGGAAAAGACATTATTTGCTGATTTACAGTCTTCGCTTTATCAAGCCGCAAGATAAACCTGTGGGAGCTGCAGGTGTGAGGCAAACACATCTATGTGGGTTTTTGGTCTCTGTAGGTGAAAATGCACACTTGAGCTCCCTGTCTGATGGATCAGGATCAGGGAGCTGCTCTGTCTTGGTACCATGCAGTTATTTGTCAGTGTTGCGCTACTGTTTTTACAAAAGTGTCACTGGACCTCATCTTCATTTCAGATTTATTTTAATGATTTCTAAGTAGGTAGAGGCTTATCCTGAGACTGTAAGTCACTTATTTTTTTCTTTCTTTAGAAAAGAATGGGTACAGACACAGGATTAATAAATTCTAATAGATTTAGTGCTCTCATTAGAAATCACATATATTTTCTCCAGTACAGATTTCTGAGAGGAGCTAATAGTATACAAGCCTTATCTGCAGCACCCTTTCTATTTTGCACTAAGTAGGGCATCAAGACCATAGCAAATGACCCTGAACTTAATCCAAAAATCCCTTGTTATGAGTCAAAACTACACTGATCCTAACTTCCCTTTTGTCCACAGGTCCTCTGCTTTAGCAACCTGCCGCAACATGTTACAGCTCCGTCTGCTGTATCTGTTGATGGCGATGCTCGAATCAGGGAACAACCCCTGCTGTGCCAACATCATCGTGGCTTATTTGTCTTCCTACAAATAAAATACATTTGAAATTTGCATGCTCATTGCTTTGGGATATCTATTAAAAAGAGAATAGTTGTGGCTAACTTTCTGTCAAGTCCAAAGGTGCTTATTATTCTGAAAAATGCCCTCAGGCACTTGCCGAATGAGTTTTTTTGTTTGGCTAGGAGCTTTTGCAACATATTTTAATCACTTTTTCTTCTCACATCTATGTCTAAAAGTTTCCCTAGCAGTGGCCACATTTAAAAATGGTGGGTGCTATGTACAGCAGAAAATAAACACTTGCAAATTCCAGAGACCCACAAGGCCTCTTTCAGTCCTCTGTCCCTATACTATACATAGATCACTTCTTTCCCTCTAGCTAAGCACTGGTTAAATAGCACAGTTTTCATGCAATGAGACACAGCTGCAGACCCTTCTTGCCTGCCTTCTAGAAGAAAAAGGGTAAAAGTTGCTTCTGAACAGGTCTGTGAAGTTATAAGCCATTACTGAAAACAAAATTCTCTCTTCCCACCCCTTTCGCACTAGTTCTTGCTTGCCTACTGTGGAAAGCTAGATGCACATTAAATATACAGTCTCAAGAAGATGCTGAATTTCAAGCCAAACCACCTTTTAATGGTTAGAAGTAAAGAATTAATAACAGTGAATTAAAACTATGTGCACTTATTCTGTGTCTTACACTATATTTGTACAATGGCTGTACTTGTGTTTAAGGCTTTGTTTTGGCTGGGGAGATACTTGAGCTGAGATTTCAGTGCGAGCAACCGGCTCTAAATCAGGCAGCAATACTAATAACATGCCTGTCTACAGCGGCCCACGATCTTCAGAGATTATGATGCACACCACAAACTCGGAAAGTGCCTTGCAAATGTCATTTCAAAAGCCTCACACCAGCTCTTCAAGACAGGTAACTATTACAGCGGGGCTCCAAGGAAGACCATGAGGACTCACAATGACAAAGCAGAAAATGTCTCAAAGGCAGAACCAATAGCCTTAACATTTTTTCTGCTTCCAACCACTGACTTAGACTTCCTGAATGATATCAGAGAGCAACGCCAAAAATAAGTTAAAAGGACATATGTGCACATTCGGTATGCTCTCTTTTTTAGATCTTCCTTAGATGAAAGGAATCAGTTAGCCACAGCACTAAGCCCCCAAGTGCTGGCACTCTAATGCGCAGAGTGCAGGCTGCTGCTACCCCCTCGGCACTCACGCCAGACTCAGCTTCTCTTGGCGAAGAGCCAGGACGCTGCATTCTGCCTCTGGGCTTCCACAGCAGCCCTGTGTCTGAGGGAAGAACCTGACCCAGGACTCAGTCCCAGACGCTGTGATGCAGACGGACTGCGCGACGATGGACGTTTGCCCCTGGGGAACTGCACCATTATCAAATGACTCTCACAACAGTGATGGGATAAAGCATAGGTCACTACGTGCCTGAGCTGGATTTAAGTAGCATGTAGATGAAAGGTTCCCATAATCCCTTAATATATCTTGTGTCCCCGGGAGTGGAGCGGGGTGAGTTAGCAGGTGTTTCAGACACCGAATCCAGAAGAGTAAACCTACAGACAAAACTGTGTATGTGGTTCTAAGTATTTAATACCCTCTACAACTCCAGTGATCCTCTTATGGCTGTCATGCTTACCATTGCTGCTTTTTCAGCTCTGGGATGGCAGCTCTCAGAAGTGGCCTGATCTTTCCAGCCACGCTGTTCAGGATTGAGAGGCCTGTAATAACTCCGGAGCTCCATTAAACACCGCAGGTGCTACAGAAGCACCCAGACCCAGGCACTGAGCTTGCTCCACGTGGGGCGCGCAGCAACACCCAAAGCATCCTGAGCACTGCCAGGCGTGCCCCAGGGCTGGCTGGTGCTCTCCTGGCCAAACACCCCTGCCTGGGAAAGTGGACTTTGACAACGGTCATCCGAGTGCATGCTTGGCTTCCTACTCCAGGGTCCTCAGTGGATTGAGAAGCCAGAGAATCCGGACCCTGCCCTCCCACCAGCTGCTTGTGAGATCTTAGGCAAGCCCGGCAGCCTTTCTTTGCCTCAGCATGCCAATAACCCATCCTGGAGCCCAGTGCCAAGACACCCAAGCTCGCAATATATACTTTCAAGCAAATCTAACTGCAGCAACCTGGAGCACTGTGCAGCTTAACTCTCCTAGCTTCTTCGCCATCTGTAGCACAGATACACTCACAAGACCTCTTTCTGAAATGGCGATACTACTTCCATTACCCCATTACACAGCTAATACACCTTTACCTCACAGCTTCCTTGAAAGAGAGGGTGTATCTCTGTACGACACTTACTGGGGTCTGGAGTCACTGCTATTTGTACCACAGATCATTATAGGAATTTGGGTCAGCAGTAGGACTTGATCAACACTTTTGATTGTAATACATAGGATTTCTATTTTGTGTATTTTACTCAGAAACACACTAGCCAACTTAAGAAAAACTGGGTGGGAGGGGGGGATACCAGCAAAATTAGACATTAGAATTCTGACTGCACACAGAGATCAGGTCTGCTAAGCCAAGAGATTTATGAAGACTAATAACAACGCAGAATAAAAATAGAGCAGCATTTTGGGTCTCCAGCTTTCAAGCTCTCCTACTACACATTTTCCCCCAACAGTTAAATTAAATGACACCCATGTAATAGAGAGAACCAATATTATTTGCCATTCCTGAAACGAGCACTTCAGGCTCCAGTTTCATTGCAACGCTGATCACAGTCACTTACATATAGATTAAAAGTTAAAATTCCCAACTAAATAACTGAAATTTGCTTTTTGCATTGCCAAGATACATTTGTAAATTACATTTTTCTCATGATTCTTACAAAATAATGCTTTACCATTCTGTCAGATTTAATCAACCAAATATCTGTTGCTTACCTGTGTGAAGTAGAGATTCATCAGGGTCAGGGTGAAAAACTGGAGGCAGACTGGGAAGCAATAGAGAAGCCAGAAGATGAAGGGGCTGAGAGAATTTGCTGTGACAAAGTCTTTGAAGTAAAACGAAAAGAGCACAGTCCTCAGAGAGGCCCAAAACAAGCACAGGAACAGAAAGACAGTTTGGTAACTGAACCTCTTGTGCCGGTAGTGAAGAACCAGCCAGAGCTGGACGTAGATGAACACAAAAAGCAGTGAATAAAAAACAGTATATACAATGGTCAGGCCCAGCTTCACATACGGAGGGACAGCTGGCGTCAGGGTCGGTGGAAGGGTGTCATTTTTCAGTGGGTCCCACTCAGGGGCCTCCATCTGATATCAGGAATCGTCAGAATTATTTATTAAGTTTGGCTGCCGCTGTTGCCTCCTCCTCCTTCTCCTTTCATCTTCCTACAGCATAGGAATCAAGAAAATGAAAGAAAACAAGCTGCACTTCCTCTTTGGCAGCTCACTGTGGGCTGGTAGCACATGATCACAATTCAGAATGATTCATTAGGACTGCCTTTGTCAGCAATTGGCAGGGAACAGCTCAGAAAGCTGCCCTTTGCTGATGTTTGTGCATGAATCTTTACAATCCGCAAGAAACAAAGAAATCCACCAGCCCCTGAATGGTTTGCTGCCGCTTTTTTTACCTAAGGAAAATAATACAGATTTTAAATTAGTTAAGTAATGTTCTATTTTTTACAAGAAGCAAGTACCTGACATTTTCCTAGTGGCAGCCACATCATATCTTTGTCGGATTTTTTCGTCTTGTTTCCCATTAGCAAGTACTTTATTTAGCAGCATTTCATTAGGAATAATTTTAAGCACCTTAAGGTACTCATGAAATTCAAACCACTGTAATAAGCTGTAACAGTTCAGCTCTGCATTGCAGAAACTCTTGTATTTATATAGAAATACACAATTTGCACAGCAAATCTAACACATTCAGTTTCTTCTTTTTCTTCTAACATAAGACATTTCATTAGAATGGGGGAAAGACACATTAAGGCTTCCAAATACAGCATATACAGGAACAAATAAAAACCCCTAAATATCCAAATTCACCAAAGTGTGCATGCAGCTACAGGTTCTCTTCTTCTTGGCTGTCGTCTATTTGTGCCATCACTGTGCCAACAGCTGACCAGACACGCCTTCTCACAAGTGTGCAGATGTGCCCTTGGGATTAAATCTATAAATTAATAGGTGCTATGGCTGCTGCGTTTGATCCACAGGGGTGAGATAAGTGAGAAGTGAAACTGAGTGGTTTAGACATTTGTAGTGTGGTGCGAATGCTTCACGTATCTTTAGGTCATGTATAGCGTCATATACCATCAAATAACAAGGTTTTTAAAAGATTACTTGGTTACAGCTGGAGCACTGCCATGTTCTGTTCTATTGTTTAAAGTAAACTGATTATGAGAAGTGCTTGTTACCTGGAACAATCCCCAGGGAGGACCCCACATGTCTGGTGAGCTGTGAAAAAAGATGCCTTTAGTGAAAGAGTCCATGTGGTGAACTAACACAGTGCTCAGGGTATGCGGATACTGATACTGACACTAATTACAATATGGATTATCATTATTAATGCCTCATCCTAAGAGGAGTTCAGAACTACTGCTCTGTTGAAGAAGACAGTTACTATAATTGTGTTAATATAAGTACATACATACAGTTCTTTGAAAAGATTATACAGTCATTAAGTTTGGGAAAGACCTCTAAGACCATCAGGTCCAACTGTCAACCCAACACTACCACAACCCCTAGATCATGCCCCAGAGTGCCACATTTGCACGTTTTCTGAACACCTCCAGGGATGGCGATTCCATCACTTCCCTGGGCAGCCTGTTCCAATGCTTCACCACTCT